TTTACATTCTCCTCATAGGAACACGACGGGACGATGGTTTTCCTCCGGCGCTCTCCGCACAGAGTGTCAGAGCAGGGACAGAAGAGCAGAGCAAAGCCGTACTCTTCTGGCACACGCTCCAGGAAGCGCCGTAGGGCTTTGTGGCATTTCTGGCGGTTACAGCTGTTGTCAGCGGCTGTTGCTCGCTTGGTACAGGCTACGACATACTCTGACCGGAGGGAGCCACATTTCTCATACAGGCCACAGTCCTGAGCTGCCTTCAGACACTGGTTTTGGCCATCCACAGAAAGAGAAGAAGCTGGGGGATTTGAGGAACAACACCGAGTGATGTATACCAGGAAATAAAACTCGTTGTTTGTGTACCAAACAAAGTAAAAGTAACACTCTACCTGCCATGATGGAGGCCATACGTGACATCTCAATGTTTTTCACCAGATTTAACTCCAGTTCTTCATATGGAGACACTTCATACTCATCATATGCTAAAACAACAAGTCCAGTAAAGAGCATAAACACATGGTTACCCCCAGAAAGCCCCCTGCCCACATAGTTGGCATGCCAGTGCTTAAACCCACCTCCAAATCTCACAGTCCAGTAGACCCTGAGGCAGTGTCCCTCCCTGCGAGACCCACGCTTACACTTACAAACTTGAAGGGGGCGATAATGCTGCAAGGAGTTCTGGGCCTCCAGGCACTCTAAACGGGCGTCTGGACCAAGGGGTGACACCGCCTCCTCAGCTGCACAGTACTCCAACAGTCGATAGAGGACCATGCAGGACTGATCCTGGACGCAGCCCTGCTCTGCCTCTAGACAGTCTAAGGATGCGGATACTGGCACATTACCTGCAGGAGAGGTTGGTACTGTCAGTGGACAAAACCATTATTCAGCCAATATTAGTCCTTGTGGTACTGTAAACAGGCTGTAATTAGGGCAACAAATCAAAGTGAGTGTTCTCCTCCTCTGTGCTACAGGTTACTATTATATCCAACAAGATATACTGAAATGACAACACATAAGTGTAAGAAAGTGGCAACGTAGGTGAAACCTCAGTGCTCCTTATAAAAGCACAACTTTTGCTCCACACCATCTTTTCAGTGGGACTCCTTGTTCACCTCTCTGCTAATGTTTTTATGTACCCAGTTGTACAGTATACCTTTTTTATGAACGCACCCTTTTTTCAGTACAGTGTCTCGGTGTTTGTACCCATAACAGTTAATCCAAGGCTTCTGGAAACGCTCCAGCTGCCAGTCACCTCACACTGTGGTGCTGTGTGGAACCAGGTGGCACATGTCCTCTGCTTTCTTCTCACATACCACAATGCTCGAGGATCAGAGAAACGTTTAGAGAAATTTTATGAATCAACTATGTCAAGTTTCAAACCAGGCTGTCAGATACCTCTTTTTTTTCCTGTATAATCTCGTACGCTAATGTGTGAAAACTCTCCTTGCTGGTCTGCTCAAGTGCTTCTTAGAAACATGAGCATCCAAGATTTGAGAGTCAGCTGCTGACTGTCAGCACTACATTCATAATGTAAGGAAGAAAATAAAGCCTCAATGACAACCAAACAGGGATGTTGTGAAAAGTGAATTTGGCCTGCATCAAAAAGGATGCTGTTCAATGGCCAACTCTCAAGTCTTGGATCCCACTTGGAGCTTCCTGCAAAATATTTGAACCACCAGCAAGGGAGAATTTCCAAAATAGTTCCCTCCTGTGTGACAGTAATAACTAAAAAATAAAGGCTAGATAATGTTTGCTGTGAGGGATTTTTTTTATTGTAAATCATTTGTGGTAATGCAAAATATATAGGAAACAAAGATGTAAAAAAGATCGGTGTGGTGCTCACATTTTTGATGTGATATATTAGAGACATGTACATGGGCATCTTGTGCAAAAGCACTGCTGTTGTTATTGTAGAAGGACACAGCTGGGGGCGAAACCTTCTACAGCAGGGTCCCGTCGACTTGGAACAAGCTTTTCACCAACGTCACACTGTCTCCACATGCAGCGCTAGAGACAAAAACAATTCAGCACATCTTTGTTCCTAACAAGAATACTTTTGCTTCCATTTCTGCTTTCAGACAGAGGCTCAATCAAGATATCACATTCAGATGCTCTGCCAGACATCAGCACATGTGGCACCTAAAAAATAAGCTTGAGGATAGTGTAGAATAACATCAGTATGTGTGTTAGGTTATTTTTTAGTTAGATAGATATTCAGAGATTTGTTGTC